GTCGGCACTATTCCAATTAATCAGTTAAGGTATCTTGAATTTTGTACGATTTTAGTGTGTCATGCATACAGAGAAGTACGTTACGAAGTACTAGAACTGCATCTAGTTGGATCAATCATCTCCTTGGTTGTGGTGGACATTAAGAATAACATAGTTTTCTTGGATAAAATTAATTTGGTTACATCTTGGTTTTATGTAAAGTATAGTAAATGAATTTTGCCACTATAATTTTTCTAATTTATGATTTAATTTTTCTAATTTATGATTTTATTTGCTGATTTTGGGGTTAACAAACTTAATTAGCTTTATCACATGATTTTTTTATGTTTATGTGATATGTTTACTATTGATAATCTAAGATTATCTATTACTCATCATCATGATAATTTAATATAAATATATTTATCTAAACTAGACCCTAAGTCTTTGTTTATAATACTTTTCTCATGATATGTTTATATCTTATACTACGTATTGTAGATAGCATGTGTTTTTATATTGGTTTAATGCTAAGGAAAGTCAATTTAGTTTTGATTTATTATGGAGTATTGTTACGATATAATTTCCTAAATTATATCCCAAAATTAGAGGATATACTTCACCATTTAGGAGATGTTGATAAAATTTGTTTACGTAATTCTAGGAGATAATTAGGTGGGATTTATGTAAACTAGGAGTAGATTGATTATGCACACGTGATCCTTGGCTTGAATCAAGGACACGGTTACGCTTTATTTTGTTAACACTTGATAATATATAAACAAAGAAGTGGAATAAAAAGGCAGAAAAAAAAAATTTGAGGAAAATTTCTTAACAAGTATACATATTTAATTATATGCCTAAGCTAACTGCTCAAGAAGTCTTATTTTGATCAAATTATGTGATTATGATGAGTATGGATTAAACATCGTGGATTATTTTTATGGTAATGCGTTGAACTCTTTAACGATGATTGTCATATTATATTTACTTTTATGAGTAATATTACTTACACTTGAATGACGCTATAATTTCATTGACCTCATGAATAATAGGTTTAAAAATATTTACGTCATAATCAACAACTAATATTTATGAGTATGATTTGGATTTTTTTTTTTAATGATATGTAGCATTATATTGTTTCTAATTACCCTTATAAGTGAGATTGCTAATATTTGCATGGTGTCATAACTCTAATGAGTATTGAAGATACATAAATTACTAGATTTACTCTCCATAAGTGAATGAGAGTTCATGTGATTGAAAGAAAGCATGTTTGCATGATGTTTTCGTGATTACATTCATTGAAAAGCTCATTTAGAATTGCAAACATGATTACAAATCAACTATTGGACCAAGAAATAATGTTTATGAGTTTATAAAATGCAACATAACATTGAGAGAAACTTTACATGATCAACGTTTTATTATGCCCATAAATATAAGAGGTTTTGTTTTTTTTTAAGATGAATGTAAATGGGCAAGAGGAACATGATTAAGTGTTCTATAAGTATAATTTTATCTAAGCATGTTTTTGCTAAAAGGAACACGTTACTTGATACATGATATTGCCAATAGAATTTATGACTTAAAAGGTGTAGGGATTTTAAAGGTTGTTAGATTGATTCCATACCCCCATATGCAAGTAAGTTAATTATTTATTTTGAAATGATACCATCCTGAAAATTTTAATTGATACATGATATTGCCAATAGAATTATTTAATTGATATAATCATTGACATTTATTTAAGATACATAAAATTGATACATTAACTTATTTATTTTGAAATGATACCATCCTGAAGATGGATTAAATAAATGTCAGTGATTATATACTAGTTGTAAATGCTCCAATTAAAATTGATGTCCAGAAGGACAACATCAATTGCTGATGAACATATAGCATGCCTAAAGCATGATAGATCAATATGGTCCAAAGATAATTAAGTATCTTCGAAAAGGAAAGGAGCCATTATTGACAATGACAAATTTGAGGAAGTGATAAATTCCATTACATTTCTTGAAGAAATCACTTTTAGTAAAATTCATATGTTCCATAATTATATAAAAGACTCCAGAAGAGTATGAAATGTCCAACAAGATTAACATGTATCAAGATAGTCAAAACTCTAGCAGAGTATGAGTAATTATTGGATAAAATATTAGTTGATTGTCTTGCCAATTGTATAAAGGAACACATGTTGATGTTCTAATATCACATCATACTCATGGTCATGCATAAAGTAAGTTTAATAAAGTGATCACTAGTGTTGGAAAACTGACTAGAGTTTAATTTCAAAGATGTGATAGGATGTGATAATTAAATTAGGCCATCCGGGTTCAATAAATACCCGTTATGAAAACCTGAAGTTTCATTTGATAATGTGCTGACACTCTCTCAATGTTAGATATATGAAATGAATTGAATGGCAAGACATAACATTGAGATTGAGCTATAATAATTTGTGTTGATGAAAATTTCAAGAGTTAATAGGTTTTGATTTTCATATATACGAAAGAGCAATAGGTGACCAGAAGTTCACCAAAATAACTTATATATTATTGTCAAGTATTAGGGGTGACCAGAAGCTCACCAAATACACTATTTAAGTCTTCAAAAATCTAGAAGATCACCACCTAGTAGAATTATAAGCATGTGATTTACGCTTGTATACCAATTCTTTTGATTGGGGCTATTATATGTCAGCACATAAGAAATAGGAGAAGAAAGAAAAACGTACAACTGCACAACACATGTCTCCCCATTGACATTGATCTCCAGAAGAGAAAATATTATGGAAAATGTAATAATAAATACACATGATATGTAAAGTTAATGAATAAATGATTTTTCATTGAAATTGTTCTCCAGAAGAGATAAATCTTGTTTAATACAAATTTTCTAAGAGATAAATTTTGATTGTGATCCTCCCAATGAAATGAATTTTAATGCAAATTCATATACTAAGTTGGTATAGAATTAGACGCCCCTATAAAAGTGACTTAACAAAAGTTAGAAAAAAATAAAAATAAATAAATAAATTGATGATCCCTATAATGGTAGTTTGAAAAGTTACATGCCAACTTTTGTCTATTATCAAGATATGTTGCGCATTTATGATTTGATTTGTATTCAGTTATGACTCATGTTGCATAGCGTTGAAGATACAATTTGGTCATATTATGTGTATACATTGAGATAAAATCTTGTCAATTATACTTGAATCACTACACCTGAAGTGTGGGTTGTATGATCGGTTCCAAAATAAAGATATGATATGTGGCTAGATAGTGCAGTTAACACTTTCAATATTGTAATAGTATATAAATACCATAGTGTATGAAATACCCCAAAAGTGGTATAGATATCTGAATTATTACAATAGATGGCCTATGATAAGAAAAGTTATGATGGTACCAATGAAAAATGTATCCAGATATCATTGTCAAAATAGCATGCAAATTAAAATTGTTCCTTGAGGAATTATGTGATGATACCGGTATATGATGGAACCGATAAATAATGTATATGCATGATAGAATGGACGGGTGAATAATGGATTTGAAATATATGTCCATTTTTTATGTCGACATGAAACTAAGATAATAAATAAAAAATTTATCATGGACTAGGTCTTTTATTTATGTGCATGTTGAGTTTTAAATTTATGAATTACTCATTGTATGTATAGGATATAGTTTGATGCATTACTCATTACATATATATTTTGTTTAATGTTTTATCATGAATTCTACATCTCATATTGCATGCATTAGTTCTATACAACAATTGTGTTATATGTGAATGTTTATGGTATGACGAGTTTATAATTATGATGAAGGCTTACAAGAAGAAATTTATACTCCGATGGGCTTATAATTGTGATGAAAGTTTATATGATGACGATCCAATAGCATGTTATGAATCATGCATGAAAAGTTCCCGCAGAACTTATATACAACGTATTCAAATATCTAGCCCTTCAAATTCTATATTCTGAAAAATGATAATGTTGATATTGTTATCAATTTCATGGAGAGTATTGGTGACTAAGTTATTGAAATATCAACTTGAAGTTTAATCAAGTGAGAGTTAATCGATTTTTATATTCATTGGAAAACTCCAGTATAAAATGCAAAATGTCTAAAGAATAATAGTAATGAGCTATATTGCCGTAAGGATAATCTTCTTATGGTCTAGAAGAACCATGAGTAAAGTATATAATAATACTTATGTTATATTATTACTAATTCATATAAGCTTAGATAATGATATCAAGATATCACGGGTTGCCATAAATTATTATCAATATTTGATTATCAATAGCTACTTTTACGATCTCCAAAAGTAGGCATAATTTTGATGGTGAGGCAACTTGAAACAAAATGTCATATAAGATAGCGGTAAACGTAACTTAGGTATTGTTCTCACAAGTATGGATAAATGAAGATGCTTTACAGTGATGATTCAAGTTTGATCAGGGAGGATCAACTATCAAGGAATGTTATTTAGCTACAAGTGTGAAGTTACTAAGACATTGAATTCATTACATTGGAAGATCTCAAGTTGTGCACTTATCAGGGGGAGAAAATACGCGTTGCACTCTTTTTCCCTTAACCATGTTTTTGTCCCACATTGGGTTTTCCTGGTTAGGTTTTTAACGAGGCAGCATGTCAAGGCGTATTATGAAAGTGTTGTACTCTTTTTCCTTCACTAGGTTTTTATCGCATCGGGTTTTTCCTAGTAAGGTTTTAGTAAGGCACACTATTCGATAATGGTCATCCAAGGGGAAGTGTTATATAATATATGTATATCTATTATATCCTTATGATTATTCAAGGATATTCTATATATACTAGGTTTATTATTATACAATAAAACCCTAATTGTATCACACATATATATATATATATACATATATGTACTCCTACTTTTCCTCTTTCTCTTTAATTTTATAGCACAAATGAACTTTTTTTTTTTTAATTTTTTTTTTCAAAGAATCTTATCGAAATTCAAAAGGTATTGAGTTTTTTAGGAATTATGTATAAAAAAAAAAAAGTTTTAGGAATTACAGTAAACTAATCTCAAACGGTTAAAAAAAAAAAAAAAAAAAAAAACAAAATCCCCTTGAAGCCCTAGTTGTCCTTCTCTTTCAGTTTTTTCCACTCCATTGAGGCGCCTTCTGATATTCAATCCTCCACTGAAGCAGCTCCTGAGGTAAGTTGTTTCTTTTTGTAATCATCATATCAATTTCACAATCTAGGGTTTATCGTTCATCTAATTTAATTTAATTTAATTTAATTTAATTGTCAGTTGGTATATGCAAGGTGAATACTTGAACTTATTGTTTCTAATTACTAACGACAGAAGAAAATTACGAGCCTAATTGATAATTGAATCAAATATATCTTTTCTCCCTAAAATCTGTGGTTTAATAATTGAATCAAATTTGGTTCGTTGCAGAACCCTTTTATTTTAATGTTAGGATTGAAGTCATTGAACTATGATATTGGTTTACTTTGATAATTAAGCTACATTTGGTTGCTAATGTGTTGCAGGTTTTTGTTTGTACAATCTTCTAATGTCAGGACGGAACCTTGAAAATGAAAGTTCTTGCCCTGGCTCAGGGACGGGCCCGGTCCTTTCGGCCGAAGAGCTCGAGAGGAAAAAGAAAAAGGAAGAGAAGGTTGGTAGTATGTACTGATTGGATTATTATGATCAACTTTATTTTCTGTGAATATTTATTGCTTGATAGATGAATTTGGTAATGAGGAATTTGATAATTTGCTAGATGAAAAACTGTGGTATTGAAAATGGTTTATGCTAAAGCTAAGTATTGTTAAATTCCTTAATATTTTGGTTTGTTGGTTGGGGGTGGAGGCGGGGTGGGGTGGGGTGGGGTTTGTTTTAGAGCGAAAGGGTGGAGATGTCCAAACAATTCTATTGTAGTTTAGACAAAACTTTAAAAGTTTGCTTTTGGGAGGTGTAGACCCTTATATTTACACAATTGCAATTGGATATACAAAGTAATTGGGCATGCAACATTGAGTGTATGCCGTTCAATGTTTCCATCCTTTTTGAGAAAATAGCTAACAAAATTGAGTTATGGTGGCATTTCAGGTTGAGATTTAACATTTTCTGTCATTATTTTCCCTTCTACTTGTCATTTGTTTCCTACTCATTTCTCTGGCATTTGAGTTTGTATATCTGCTACTGAGTGTTGATTTGTTTCAATCTCTCTGCTTTTCCGTTCTTCCTCTGGTAAACAATGAGTTATAGCTGTGATCCATCATTGTGGCATGACACTAAAATGCAATGATACCTTTTCTTGTTGCAGGCAAAAGAAAAAGAATTAAAAAAACAGAAGGCAGCGCTTAAAGCACAAGCTGCCAAACTTCAGGTATACGTCTATTTTAATTTGTAAGTATGTGTGAAAGAAGCCAAATTGCTGTACAATTCAACATACTTCCTCCGTTCTCTTTTAGTTGCAACATTTGAAAATTTGCACTATTCATGTTATCTCTTTGAACCACATTTGTTGATTTAATATTGGGCATTTGGGCAAAATATAGTCATGTGAGATCTTGTTAGATTCATCTCAATCTATATTTTCACAAAACCAAAGTTTTATACTTCCTCTATTCCTTTTTTAATCGCTACATTGGGGATTTTGCGTTTACCAATACACATTTTATAACTTTAATGTCTTAAGTTGCACTTTAATAAAAAATTATAAAAGTTGATATTTTGAAAGGACATTTCGAGATAAATCTATAAAAATCACTCATGAATATATTTCTCCAATGTATAAATCACAAAATACAATCAAAAGAGTGTGTGTGAATACTCTGAATTGTGTAAAATTCCTAATGTTGCGATTAAAATAGTATAAAAGAAGTATTGAGTATTTTTTTTATTACTTATCTATAATCAGAGATATAAAGGGCTGAAATTGCATTGGCTAATGTGAAAGTCAAAACTTTGCAACTCTAAAGAGAACGGAGAAAGTTAAATAAATCATTGATAATTCCTAAGGGACTATGTATAAGTTTTTACATGTGGCTGGTAAATAAATCTGGCTAAGCCTAAGCATGTGATACAATTGTGTTAGACACAACAAGCAAGTAACACCTCTAAGAAGACCGAAAAGAAGAACTTAAAGAAGGATGCTAAGGAAGAGGATCCTGTGAGTTTTTTAGATCCGGAGACGTCACTTGGTGAGAAGAAGCAGCTTTCGAGTTTAATGGCAAAGCAGTATTCTCCTGCTGTAGTGGAGAAATCGTGAGTAATGTTATTTGAAGCCTCCAGTTGAATTATTTTTGTTGTATGCTGATCTCTTTTGCAAATTGTTGGTGCAGATGGTATGATTGGTGGGAAAACTCTGGCTTCTTTGTGGCAGAGTCTAATAGCTCAAAACCACCTTTTGTGATTGTGAGTGCTCATTATTTGGCTTATTGAACTGTTTGCTAGAGTCTTGTAGATTTGGAGTGCTATAACTATATACTTAGGGAATTCCATGCTGTTCATTATATACTTGTTTATCCTTTGTCCTAATGGAAGTCAAAGGGAAATTTCTGGTGTGGAAGCAGCTGTTTTTTTATTTTTTATTTATTTTTTTTAATAAAATTGACTGTTTGGTTGGGGGTAAACGGTTTTCGGGGAAACAGTTCCTCATTTGCCATTGCTTGATTGAGCCGTACAAAAAATTGGAAAGTGTTAAATTGTCATTTTGGGGCCAACCTTTTGTGTATGTTTGTACGTGCATCTAGTATAGATTTCCCCCCTGAAGAAGAATTTAAAATGAAATTTAAGCATACAAACATAACAAATAATCCAACTTTACGTTGATGTTTATAGAGGAGCTCTAGCAAGGTGATGGAGTCAGGGGCCTTGCCTTAACAGTATTGGCTGTTTCAGTCATTTGTGTGTGGTTTTTTTCTGCGGCTTGTTCAATTTTCCTTAATCATGCTGCCATTGGATTTGCTAGATATAAAGTAATTATTAGTGGCCTTTGGCAATCCCATGCTTGTGTGACCTGTTAATTTATATGTGCAACTGAAACATCGAACTCGCTTTGTTAGTGTTTTATTATCGCCCTTTAGGTGTAACCTACCTTGAAATTATTTGAGATTTAATCTTATTACAACATCGATTTGTTTTTGAGTCTTGCAGGTTCTTCCACCGCCAAATGTGACAGGGGCGCTTCATATTGGTCATGCTCTTACTGGTGCAATTGAGGTTTGGCTTTTATACCTTTCATATCTCTGTGTCGTTTTGTGTTTTGTATGTGAAGCTTCTTATGATAGTGTTTTGTTAGATGAGACACTAACCTAATCTTACGCAGGACACAATTATTCGCTGGCGGAGAATGTCTGGCTACAATACATTGTGGGTTCCTGGAATGGATCATGCCGGGATAGCAACACAGGTTAAATTTAAGATACTGTCTTTTTGTTTGATTTTTTTATTGCTGAGCCACGGAAAAGGTTGCCCAACGAGTTTGTTCAGTACTGTGATAAGAAAGCTATCCTAATTTATCTGTGGCTCCCTTAGGTCCGTTTTTGTATCTTATTCAAAATTTGAATATTAATGCAATCCTCAAGAGTATTTTATTTTAAAATTCATAAAAACTATGCTACCCATCCCTTTTTTTTAAAAAAAAAACAAAAACAAATTCTTATTTTGTTCAAAAAATAATTTTCTCACCGGTAAATAATTACTACCTTTCCTCCTTTCCTTTTTGATATTTATTTAGAAGTTAAAATACTGAGGGTTGTTTATATTTGCACAAACAATAGTAAAAAACACATCAGGTGGACTAGGTGTCCTTGGAATGAGACTGAAAGTCAAAACTAAAAGTTAGCCCATGTCCTCCTTATGTCTCCAATACAGTAATTTAGGAAAGTTCTGGCTGCTATGGCCGATAAAGAAACTAAGAAAGTTAATCCAGCATAGATCACGTGGCAGCACTGTAAAATATGCAGCCATTTCCTCCAACACTGTCTTGTTATTGCAGGCTTCCAAAGTAACTTTTCCTTCTTTGCACTAATTCTGCAAAATATAATCTCCAACTGCAATTCTGTAGACTGCAAAGTCTTTCTCAAATCAAGGAAGGCATGTGAGCAAGACCTTTTATATTAGCCCGGTAAGGCATGCAAATGTCAAGTGATATAGCCATTTCCAATGACCACTTTTGGAGCATATTGTCTGCACAATGCTTTCTTAAAGATCAAGCTTACACAAAAGCTCTCACTTTAACTTGGACCTTCGATTTCTTATTTTTGCAAATTTTAGAGATTATCTAGGGTATATTCTAGCCGTAGCTACTATTTAAACTATTAAAAAAAAAAGTTGCTAGGGTTAGTATATACCCTTATATTCCAACTTCGGTCACTGACTCATTGGTGTATCGTATTGCACAAAGTAGTTGGTAATGTAAAGGGCAAAGTCCTCACGTCTTACTGTTTAGCACCAACATGTGAAAGTTTTCTCTAAAACCAATTTTTTTATATTAAAGATACTTATTTGATTAACTCGGTATATTAAATGTAGTTATTGACTAATAAACCAATATAACAAGATTTTCATAAGTTTTTTGGATTTACCTTTCCATTATTGACTCCCTGAATCAACAAAATTTCACTATTGGGAAATTCAGTTATTTCTACACTTATATGTAGTTTTCCTTGTTAAGTTCAGCTTCCCAAATTGACTGTTTAAGCTAGTCTCTGATTATTTTGAAGATCGTGTAAATTCTAATTGTATCTCCTTGCTGTTGATATTCTTTTTGTACAGTTAATTTATTTATTTTGTTATTATTATTATTTATTTATTTATTTATTTATTTAAAGACGCTGAAAACATTGCCTTAAATCAGCTCCCTTAAATTAAAAACTTGAAGCTCGAAAGGGGTTGAAATGGACCAATGCCTTTATGCCCCTCACTTCCTTGATTAAGGCTTGAAAACATTAAGGCTCGAAAGGGGAAGAAAAAAACAAGGCTTTATTATAATCAATTTTGGTTCATGTAGCCAACCCCACTTATGAGATTAAGGCTTTGATTGATTGATTGATCTTTTGGCTCTAAACCTGTCTTTATTTATCTGGCGCCTTCTGTTCTGCTGTTTCACAAGCTCAATTCTTCTGCTGGTTTTCTTACTTTCTTTTTGTTTCTATTTTACATCACAACATTTATGAAGAGCACTTTCATTATTGGCTCACAGCTTTATAGTTTAAATATCTTCCGATCTGCGCCCGCATGATCTTCATGTTTTCAATAAAGCTTGACTATATTGATTTGTTAAATTTTGCAGGTGGTTGTCGAAAAAAAGATAATGCGTGAAAGAAAGCTTACCAGGCATGATCTTGGCCGAGAAATGTTTGTTTCAGAAGTGAGTTTCTTGTCCTTTCTTTCCATTTTAATAATATTATTGTCAAATATGAGCTAAGGTGAAATTCTTGTTCTTTCTTTATTCTTTTGTAACACAAGGTTTGGAATTGGAAAAATGAGTATGGTGGCAAAATCTTGAAGCAGCAGCGTCGCCTTGGTGCATCGTTGGATTGGTCCAGAGAGGTGTTTATTTTTTTTTTTCCCCTCCTCTGTTATTCCGTTTTTGTGTTATTTTTTCTGATTTAATTCTTTAGAGCAATTGATGTATATGTATATTGGCTGTTCATCTTTGTTTTCTTTTCTTCCTTTCTATTGTCTGCAGTGTTTCACAATGGATGAGAAACGATCAAAGGCAGTGACGGAAGCATTTGTGAGGCTGTACAATGAGGGTCTTATCTATAGGTATGTTCGACTAGATGATTTGCTTGGCGTTTGTGGTGCATTTCTGGCTCCTTTTTTAACTGATAAGTGGAGGCTGTTTCTAGCTGGAACACTAGCCTTGATGTGGGAAGCAATGTGTTTCTTTTTCCTCTAAATGAGCTGAGAGTAGGGACATTAAATCAATTTGGAGTTTGAAGCAATTATTGTCTACTGAGTGTACAACTGTACATTTGAATATTGAATTTTTACAGGACATCTCAGGCTAATTACTGGAGATTAAATCTACTTGAATATTTAATTTTTTTTTTGGCAATAAATAAATTTCATTTATAACCAAGATAGAACCGAAGTTACTGACCAAAACCTGAATTGTTTATTGTTCATGGCATATGTGATACTTATATCATTTTTAGAATAGATGAATGCTTAATCCTTGGAGAGTGGAGACTGAGAGTATTTTGAATTTATAATTGTACAGGTCATAAATTTTCATCTCCTGGACACAGGTTATGTGGAAATAGGTTCTGTTTACATATAACTTCCTCCGTTTCTATTTAGTTGACACGTTCAATTTATGCACACATATTAAGGAGAGGAGAAATAATGATAAAGCAAGTGGGGTAGACTAGTAAATGCAAAGTATAAAATTTATCCAAAAAGGAAACATGTCAATTAAAAAAAACTTCCTAAAAAGGAATAGTCAACTAAAAAAAACACGGAGGTAGTATTAGATACTGATGTAATGAAAGATCTTAATGGCCCATGCTACATTATCTGTGGTTCAGTAAGTGCAGTCCTTATTTTAATCATGATTCTGTCAATATTGGACACTAATGGCTTCATCGTCATAGTTTGGTTATATATTTCCCTTTACAGCTTCTTGCAATTCTTCTAATATATTGGTATCCCATTCTTGGTGCATTTGACCATTCAGAGAAGCTTTCTGTGTTTTGCACTACATACATTTCCTTATTCTCTTATCCCTTTTATTGTTGCAACGAAAACAGTAAATTAAATTTATTTTTTTGGGAACTTTGATTCTCCTTGAGTTAGTTAAATAAAGTTGCCAAAAAAAGTCTGTACCTCATGATAACTGATTAATAAAATATTGGTTGACAGTATCATTTGACATTTTGTCATGACATTTAGCAAATTTTCTTTTTAAGCAATATGCTTAAAGTTCAACTCATTTTTATATCCTGAAGATCCTGCATCTTGCAGTCAATTTAAATGAAAAAAAACTTGGTTGCTTGGCTTTTGAAGATGTCCTAACATGTAATAGTATATATGGAACTCAGTGTTTTGACCAAGTTATTCTTTCTTCTGCTAAATGTTGATGATATCTGAATGGCTTAACTTCAAATGAATATAAGCTCCAGCCTCCTACAAGCTCAGCTTAAATGTACTTTTAGGATATTTCATTTAGTTGGAAATGTACCCGATTGAATCTTGCTGTGAATTTTTTTTTTAATTTATTGTTTCTTGTTGTGGTTGGCTTTAGGGATCTACGATTGGTAAACTGGGATTGTGTGTTGAGAACTGCAATATCTGATATTGAGGTTTGTTCTTTCTTTCCATGATGTGCTTATTGGACATGCTCTGCCATTTTCTGAAAGACATGTGGTATTTTTAGGTGGACTACGTTGATCTAAAAGGAAGAGAAGTGAGAAAAGTTCCTGGATACGAAGATCCTGTAGAATTTGGTGTCTTGACATCATTTGCTTATCCATTAGAAGATAATCTTGGTGAGATTGTTGTTGCCACTACTAGAGTGGAAACAATGTTGGGTGATACAGCAATTGCTGTACATCCTGATGATAGCAGGTATAAGCATTTGCATGGCAAAGTGGCCATACATCCTTTTAATGGAAGAAGAATCCCAATTGTTTGTGATGCAATACTTGTTGATCCAGCATTTGGGACTGGTGCTGTCAAGGTATGAATTCCCTTTGCATCTTATGTTTTCTACCTTGATCTTCTCTGCCCCCTCCCCTCTGATTTCTGTGAATTTTAAATGCTTAATTTCATGCTTTTGTAGATCACGCCTGCCCATGATCCTAATGATTTTGAGGTTGGGAAACGTCACCAACTAGAGTTCATTAACATCTTCACTGATGATGGGAACATAAACAGCAATGGGGGCCCAGAATTTGCAGGGTTGCCACGATTTAAAGCTCGTGTAGCTATAACCAAAGCACTGGAAGAGAAGGTATGGTTGTCTTGATCCCTCCCTGCTTATTGTGGCTGCTTCTGTTGAAGTGTAATGCCTGTGATAGATATAGGGGAAGTTTGTTGTATCTTGATGCCTAGTTAGCAATTTAGCATAGTCAGGTGGCCTGTTTCGGAGGAGCTAGGCCCCATGGCTAGTCAGTTCAACATGTTTTGAAAATATGTGTACTTGTTTTCATTGTTCATTTGTCATTTTGCAAAATCTTATCCTTATTCGTTCCTTGTAGTGTGCTCAGCACATTCATTTTCCGTAACTCTCCTGTCCAGTGTCGATTGTTCTGGCATGTATTGTGCTATACTATTTTTTTGGATACATATATAAATTTTCTTATTTTAGAATGCTATGTATATCAGGGTTTATATAGAGGTGCTAAGGACAATGAGATGCGTCTTGGAATTTGTTCAAGAAGTAATGATGTTGTGGAACCATTGATAAAGCCTCAGTGGTATGTCAACTGCAGTTCTATGGCTAAGGATGCCCTTGATGCTATTATTGATAATGATAACAGAAAGATTGAGATCATCCCAAAAACCTATGAAGCTGATTGGAAAAGGTATGTCAAATCTCTTTCCTCTCTGAAATGTTGTTTGTCATTATGTCAAGATTATTGATACTGATAGAGTTTTTCCTCTTGAAAGGTAATAGTAGTATAATGATCACATTGTAGTGAGTGCAGTGTTTTGTTGTTGTTGTTGTTTCCCTGGAAGTTGGCAGTAGTACTATGATATATATCTAGTGACTTCTTGGTGCAAGCAGTGCAACATTCTAATTATTTGACAATTGAAGTAGTAATCAGTTGTTTTTCCAATTGCAGAGTTAGACAAAACATAAATCTCTAATCTATCTGTTCTGCAAGACTTCTACCTCCTCCATTCTCTTTTAGTTTCAAAGTTTTGACTTTCACGCTTGTCAATGCATAAATTCAACCCTTTTTATCTCTAATTATACTTAAGTAAATTTATAGAAAATTTTATGTTATGAGAATATGATTTGAAACAAATCTAACAAGATTAACAAATCAATAAAGGTGGCAAATGGACAAACATGAATTGTGCTAATTTACAAAAGTTGCAACTGAGTAATAGAGAACGGAGGAAGTACATAGCTTTATGTATACCCATAAATACGTACTCCATTTATTTTTGTTCTACCCACTTGGTGGAGGTACACAGACCAATTAAAATATTTAAGATAAGGTGGCTGGTTCATGGGTAATAAATTAAAGGCAGATAGAGTAGAAGAGAGAAAGTGAAAGGTGGATGTAGAGTTAACAAAAATTGGGAAAAAGTTAAAGCAGGAAAATAATAAAGAAGGATTATATACTTAACTGGGAGTGTAAATTTCCGAATTCACTTTTCAAGAAACAGAGAAGGGAAGCATTGCTCTAAATGCTCTCCTTTGTATCCTTTCCAAAATCAATAATTAAAGGGAAAATAAATGCACTCTTTTTTTTATATATTGGTCTGGTATCATGGTGAAGGTGAAGCTTGTTTATGATAACTGTATCGTTTTTGTGTCATTATTATCAAAATAATTGTTATTGGCTATGTAGCTACCTTTCCAAATCCTTTCACTTCCTTTTTTTTTTTTTGTTTTTTTTTTTTGTGTTTATATTTCATTATTGACAGTCATATTTTTGCAGATGGCTTGAAAATATTCGAGACTGGTGCATCTCTAGGCAACTTTGGTGGGGCCACCGCATACCTGCTTGGTATGTTACATTGGAGAAAGATGAACTGAAGGAACTGGGTGCTTATAATGACCATTGGGTGGTCTGTCGAAGTGAAGAAGAGGCACAAGCTGCGGCTACCAGAAAATTTGCGGGGCAGAAGTTTCAGATTACTCAAGATCCTGATGTCCTGGATACTTGGTTCTCCTCTGGTCTCTTCCCGTTGTCTGTTTTGGGCTGGCCAGATGAGACCGATGATTTGAAGAATTTTTATCCAACTTCAGTTCTTGAAACTGGACATGACATTCTTTTTTTCTGGGTCGCCCGGATGGTAATGTTGGGGATGAAACTTGGAGGGGATGTACCTTTTAGAAAGGTAAACCTGGTTTCTTGGTCTATTGGGCAATGATGCTCTATATTAATGGCTACATGTTGACGTGAAGTTTCTCTTCGTTTTATGTTTTAGATTTTATGAAGTTATTATATGTATTTGCTGCTTTACATTTTCATCCTGCACGGGAAGAATAGTTTTTTCTTTGATGTATTGATTATAGGATGTTATCCTTTTTTGTTACTAATAGAAGAGCTCAAATTTCAGTGCTGTGCTAGTCTGTCATGATAGGGGATAGTGACATGAGCTTTTGACACATTACTGACATGTTTTGTATTGACCTATTGAAGATTGGCCTATTGCTAATTCACCTATCATTAACTTGGTTGGAGTGTTTATATATAGTTTTGCCCTGTAAAGATAATGATTTGAACTTTGTAGGTTTATCTTCATCCCATGATCCGTGATGCACATGGGCGTAAGATGTCAAAATCATTAGGGAATGTTGTGGACCCTCTTGAGGTTATAAATGGGATCTCTCTAGAAGATCTTCAGAAGAGACTGGAGGAAGGAAACTTGGATCCCAGTGAGCTTTCCAGAGCCAAAGATGTACAGAAGAGAGACTTTCCAAATGGCATTCCAGAATGTGGTGCTGATGCTCTTCGCTTTGCTCTTGTTTCATATACTGCTCAGGTCTGTGCCAAATGCCATAATCTATCTGAAAGATTGAAATTTTTGTTTGAAAGGGAATTATTTTTATATTGTTACTGATATGATATTTCCTACTTCAGTCTGATAAAATAAATCTAGATATTCAACGGGTTGTTGGGTACCGTCAATGGTGCAATAAACTGTGGAACGCTATCAGGTTTGCTATGAGCAAACTTGGAGATGATTACTCTCCTCCAACCAGTATAGATCCCAACGTCATGCCATTCAGTTGCCAGTGGATACTCTCTGTCCTGAACAAGGCTGTTGCTAAAACTGTATCATCTCTTGAGGCATATGAGTTCTCTGATGCTGCTACTACTGTGTATTCATGGTGGCAATTCCAGCTCTGTGATGTTTTTATAGAAGTAATCAAACCCTATTTTGCCGGCAATGTGGAGTCATTTGCAGCTGCAAGAGGTTATGCTCGTGATGCATTATGGGTTTGCCTTGACAGTGGGCTTCGACTGTTACATCCATTTATGCCATTTGTGACAGAAGAATTATGGCAGAGGCTTCCTCAACCAAGAGATGCTATAAGGAAGGAATCTATTGTGATAAGCGAGTATCCTTCTGTCATACAGGTAAATTCTGATGTATTTCTGGCTTCCTAGTTTGGTCCTTACTCCTAAGCAGTTGCATTCTTTCTTTCCTGCTAGTATGTTCTAATAATTAGTTTTATTTTGTCTTTCCTGTATGTACTATTATTTTCATTGAAATCCTGTGACTGGTTTTATGATAAGCTGCTTTCGTATGCATGCACTACAATATTGCAGTCCTGGACCAATGAGAGTGTCGAGCAGGAGATGGAGCTGACCGAGCTTGTTGTAAAATCTCTGAGGAGTCTTAAGTCATTATTACCTGCTAAAGAAAGACATGAAAAGTAAGTGGTTTAAGCAAAAAATCTGCTTCATTTTCCTTCTTTTGTTAATGAAGTAGTGTTCATACAAGCTGTCTATAACTTTTTCTTCTTTTTTATTATTTTATTTTATTTTTACTTTGTTTTTTTTTTTTGTTTTTGAATTTTTTTTCTTATTTTTGTGATGAGTCATACATATGTAAGGAATTTCTGTGGAACTATGTGCCTAAGGCTGTTTTATATAGTATAAAATCGCGGCCAATACGTTGCGATGCGGACATTTTGTAACGGAATTTCAGGCTACCGTTACGAGATTTGCCATTTTGTAACGGCCTTTTATAAAAGATCGAGTTTTGACCGCGACATCCGGCCGATAAACCACCGGATCGCCCAAGTAATAACTTAGATTTGTTGGTTTATCAGATTTTCATGGCAAACTCCATTGTTGCCGACTTGTCGGCTGCTATAGAGTGAAAGAGGGTAAAGGTGAAAGGCGGGGGTAAGTGAAGATGGGTAATTGGTGGGAATAGTGGGCAGCTGGCAACAATCTGGCGGTTCTTGATAAAATAAAATGTTGCTCATCAAATTTTTTTTCTAAGTTCAAAGTGTTGACCCCACCATTCTCTTTATTTTTCTTTGACAAGATACTTGTACAAATAAATGGAATCACGTGACTCATTTTTGTTAATCCTAGCAGACGTTATTCTTTTTGACACTAACTATTTGTAAAACTTATTTTTAGCTTTCAGTTTCTATTACTCCATTTTAAATTATTGTATAAATAATATCATATTCTAATTTCCTAGGTATTATACAAAGAAAATTAATGTATATTTGAAAATTTGTTTTAAAAAATAATTTTATTACTAAAAAATAAATTAATACTTCAAAAAATCAAAACAAAAATTCTACCGCGATGATCGTGACACAGTCCGCGATTAACGCATTATTTCCGTTACCGCATCAACGCTACCGTTTCCGCGATCGCGACCGATACCGCATTTTTATTCTATGTTATATATTGACCATTTATTTTGAAAATCATATAATGCTCTTTTAGGTGGACAAATCTACACCACAATCTTCTTTTCTAAGCAGCTTTGAAATTGTTTATGCAATTGTTTATGTGTAATCTATATCATAATAAAATAAGCATTGGATGAAATATTAATCTCACTTCAGTATCTTCCATAAAATGAAATATTACTTACATCGACAACATGATACCTCAAGCTTTTTGATGAGAGAAACTTGTCCTCTAATCCATCTTACTCTTGTGGGTTTTTTTTTTTTCCAATTATAAGGATATATGATTAGTATGTGTTGAAAAATATGTGTGTTAAGATAAAAATATTTCTGTGTATAATAACTTGATAAGAATAGAATGACTTATTCCCTCATCTGTACTAACATTTTCCCCACCAAATTTATATCACACGCCTGATCACAATAATTGTTCAAAATTCGTCAAATGTAGGACATTGTGATACACATTGCTCGGAGCATTGTTCAAGCCATTCACAAGTTTTTTTTTTTTTTCCTTTATGGGTCTTCCCAAATACTATATATTTTACTTTGAATGTCCACTAGTTCAATCGTTTTTCTATCTTTTAAATAACAACTTTAAACTTATTTGAGAGAGGTTGCTCTATTCTACACCTAATTGGGCTAGTTAGTATAATATATGACATCCTTATTAGTCCCTTCTTTCTTTTTTCCCTTGCTTGATCATGCTCTCTTGCTCTACTGTTCTGTAACATCATGTGCTTGTCATTGATGGGTCCTTTGTTCCCCAAATTCGTAATCTGGAATGGCCGCTGCCACCACTGCATGAACAACCTGTCTCTCTACCCAAATTCTGATTCTATATACCAGCACCAGCACTAGCACTAGCACTAGCACTAGCACTGGCACTGGCACTGTTCCATCATTATGTTTCTTTGAAAGCTGTAGCATCTTTGTTGATCAAAGGGTTTGTTTAATAACACCATGATTTTTGTATACCAGTGCTAGCACAGTTACAATGTCGTGGCATACACTCTTTCCACAGCAAATCACTGTCTATGTATTCCTTTTTGAGATGTTCCAATTTAGTTGCTACATAGATATACTTTTTCATCCCCTCTAAAGTTGATCCCATGTCTACCCACCACTTTCTTCTCTCTACCTTATTATTTTTCTTTTTTTCAAACTTTGTATAAAGCATATTTAGCAACATTTTGGGATTGAGAGGGACTTGAGGGGGTGTACTTAAATTGCAATTCCTCAGTTATTTTTATTATTTTCATCATCTTTATTATTTGTTAATGCAAGTGTACATGTATGTGTTCTTCAGGAGACAAGCTTTTGCAATTTGCCTGAATGAAGAAGTTGCAAACAATGTTCGGAGTCATGAGTTGGAAATTTTAACACTTGCTGGTCTGTCATCTTTAAAGGTGTGCAATCTATTGTAAATTTGTGACTAGATACTTTTATGATTTTCCTAATCAGATGTTGGTTCAAGTTTTCTGCATGTGGTTTGTTGTGTTTCTTGATCAATCGATTGCATTTATTCTTTTTTGGTGAGGATTGGTGTGTGTTGTTAAGGATTCCATCTCTTTCTTCAAATTCTTTTAGCAGTATATAAATGCAATTTTTTGTGACACCATTAAAATTATACACATGGAACCTTCACACATGCTATCACTCACTAGGATTGTCATTCTAGAAAGCAGGGTTACTGTTGGAGATTGTAGTAGTTTTTTTAGATCCTTGAATGTGAAGCAACTCTGGATCAAAGTCTTGGGAACTCTTCTTGCAAGGCTTCAACCACTCACTTGCTTAAATTTTATAAGCCCAAGTACCTTTTCTGCTCAACATTCTTTTTGATCTTTCCACCTCTTTTCTTTTGTTAGTGATATTTTCAAACAGGACGAATCCTGCTATTTCTTCTTCTCCCCTCTTTGAGATTCAATTTTAAGTTTTCACCTTCAGATTACCTTCTTGATTAATGATAACAATCTATATAGCCCTCCATTATTTTCATCTGTCTTTGAGGTTTTGCTGCACAAATCACCCTCACCTTTATTTCTTCCTCTCCCCTCTTTGAGATTCAATTATAGTTTGTCACCTGCAAAGTTCCTGATTAATGATTCCAGTCTATCTAGCCCTCCATCATTTTCATCTATCTTTGAGGTTTTGTACTGATTTGTCTTTGAATTTTTGTACTGAATTTTAATCTCTGCTCCACAAATTACCCTCACCTATAAACTCAATTGTGGCATGGCGACCTATGTATTCTAAATAATTCTAATAGTCAGCATAATAATATCTAGAAAATAGAAGGGATACTATAGGCATCGTGATTAGTGAGACTCCAAGAAAGTTTTTAAATTTAACTTGGAAAGCCATGGAGGGGGGGGGGGGGTCTGCTAGAAGAGTCTAAAGCGCCAACTTGGATTTGTGACCTGTATTGAGGTTGATTGAGGGTCTTAGTGATCCTGTAGATATTATTCGGATGAAGCAAGCCTCCAACATAAGGAATGCTCAAGTTGGATGCTTGAAAAACACAAAGAAATGAATTGTTTTGAGAAGTCAAAGGTCACTGTTGAACCTTTTAACTAAGTAGGAGAGCATATCAAGGGTTTTTCAAGAATGGGTTACAGACTTACAACCTTACAGTCAAGAAAATAAAATGCTTGAATTTGTGACTAGGGACAATAACTAATTTTCGGTTGGATAAGTTAAACATGACTCAAGGAAGATTGGATAAAAATAGGAAAATTGACAAAGAAACGAAATGATAAGGATTGAGTAAGATTACTAAGAGAATAAAAACTGAAAGAAAGATGGGATAGACTGGGATTCCTAAGATTAGGTGATTTTTGTAGCATAGATATATTAAGACCCTATCTTATACAAGTTTTGCATTGATTAGAATCCTATGAGAGGTAGAAGATTGATCATGACTTGGATCTAGACGAACTTGACACAAAAGAAGCCAAAACATTTAACCAAAAAGATGCCTAACGGAAGTTTAGATTAAATATGTTGTGCTGCCATAACTTTTGGCTTGCAAGCTATTTTAGGACAAAACTAGTTAGAAAAATGTTGGGGCTATTGATCCATGGGTTGTGGGCCTCGTAGTTCCTTCTAGAACTCCGACTACGTCTTGCAAAATTTTGATCCAAATTGCATGAACCCTATGGGAGACAGGCGTTTACATGAGAGGTAAGGCTAGGGCTCTTAGATATCTAGGATCAGGTTAATTACGACAAAATAAAAATGCAGTTATGGGACAATCCTAAGGCTCAACACTCATTGGCTAAGATGGTTTAAGACTTTTAAATGTGACTTCTAAGTTTAGGGCTCTTGGAGATCTAGCCTTAGCATTAAACATGTCCATTGAGGTGTAATAGTGGTGTATACAATATGCTTGATGAAAATAATGTTATTAAATTCAATTATCATAAAGGTTTAATCATTTTTATTGTAACTTTACAGGAATCCTCCCCATCGTTCCTCAAATTGTAGCCAAGGGGAAAGTATCTTACATGAATTGCACACTTGTGAAGTTGCAATCTCTTGTATTAGATATACATTTTTAATATATGCATTTTAATGTTCAAGAAATATTAATTATTATTGGACCCTGTACCCACTTGATGGATTTGATTGTACGACTCAGCCCTTTGGTATAGGCTTTTCAAATGCCTTCATCGGGAGCTAAGCAAGGGCTAGGGGACGGGACCATTATAGGTGCCTACAAGCATTCAAATTTTGGTAGATGTGGACTAGCAGATTGAAATTTATATTACATGATAAATTTAATGTACTCCTTAGAAACACAACATAGGACAATTAAATCATAAGAGATGCAAATACTGGTCTCTATACCTTATGCCTCATGGTGTTCAAGTACTACCTTGTAAAGCTCAGGGGTTTGTTACTCTTTTCATACATTTTCATAAATTATCTGGTGAAAAAACTCCCATTTTTCTTACGGGTTGAGATTCCCTTGTCTCCTGTCACCTAGCAGGGGTTATGCCCAGCTAATTTCCAGGATAATTTTTTTTTTTTTTTTTTTTTTTATTTTTTTTTATTTTTTTATTTCGTTCTATAATTTACCTTAGCCACCTTAAGGGCCTTAACAGTAAAGGTCTGTAGGCATTCCTGATTCCTGTGGCAATGGAGTTCTTGGCTAGTTTTGGATCTCCTGTGTTTTTCTTCTTAGAAAACTGAACTAGTTCCACTCTGAGCCCTATTGTATGGTTTTTTCTCTCTTTTAAAAAACTTTTACATAAAGGCCTCATGTCAATGCCGGTCTTGGTAATTGATTGGACTGCACGCAATCCTAGAACAATCATGCTTTCTTATCGGTGCTTTTATATTTTACTTATAAACTGTTAAGAGTGTATCTAACAAAATCAGACCCATTAGATAATCAACTCATTGTATATCTAGTCGAGTTTTTTTTTATTTTTTTTATTTCTAAGCGAAATGACTCCCTCTTGTTTGTTGATTGATAGAAGACTTAGAAGAGCTAGGAATGCTTTCCTATTTGCTATTCTGTATTACCTTTCCATGGCTGAATCTTACTGCTTTTGGTTATAACAATTTATCTTATAACTGGGATTTTGCAGATTGTGAATGAGAATGAAGCTGCTCTTGCCAGATGTTCACGAGACGTTGTAAATGCATACATCAGTGTTTATCTCGAGCTTAAAGGAACAATTAATGCAGAAGTAGAGCGCGAGAAGTTGAGTAAGAAGATGGAGGAAACAAAGAGGTGAGTGTATGCTCAATAACATTTTGAATGTTTCCATTTTAAATTTAGTTTATTTCATCTTTTCTGTTGTTCTTTTTCTCTAAGTTATCCTATACCATTATTTCATGTAGTGTTTCATGCCTTGTTTGGGAGTCTAAAGTGCAACACCTCTAAATACTATAGGGGCTATCTAAAATTCTTTTTTATCATGAGGATTCTTGTTTGTGGGTGATGCTTTTGTTTCCATTGTGATGGTTAAACTGTTTATGTTGTACAGGCAAAAAGAGGCTCTGGAAAAGATGATGGATGCCTCTGGATACAAAGAGAAGGTACGGCCTCAACTCCACGAGGAAAATATGGAAAAATTGACCAAACTTGTCCAAGAGGTCTTGTCGCTTGAAAAGGCAAGCGAGCATCTTGAAAAAGATATCGCTGCCCAAGCAGCTATGAAGAAATAGAGGGAAATACAGAGCTGATTTTATTTCAGATTTATATTATGCATTATTCCAATTATTGTTACTTACATGGAAGCAATGTATCAATGATTCAGGAAGTTAAACACTTAAACATTGTACTCTTTTGTGATCATAAGGTCAAATTTTGTTAACATTTTATATGATGGCAGTTGTTTTCCCCCTCATTTAGAAATGAGCTTGAAGCGTTGTGTGATCAGACGACATTACACATTATTGATTGGAATCTGCAATTTGTTACAAGTATACCTACACATGACTTCGACTTTGTGAACAATGCTTGTCAATGTGCCTTTGGTACTCTCTTTAGTCTTCAAACAGATTTCACGAAGCTAATACATCTCAGGGAAAAAAAAAAAAATAATAAAAAAAAAAACTACTGAATTTCCGTGGCATTAACACTTTTTGCTGCACCCCTTGATATAATAATAAGAGATTGAAAATAGCTATCAATTAATCAATAACTTTATTATTATTATTATTATTATTATTATTATTATTATTATTATTATTATTATTATTATATGCTAAAAGAGAAATCAGGAATGCCACTTGTCATCTCTTGGTTAAAATTTTTTCCGATCATTTTACTTTTGGTTTTTACGCAGATTCTTTAAGGAAATTATTTTATAATAATCTAAAATATCTTTCTTCCAATTAAAATTCTTAACAATGATAAGTTTCCATATAAACCCAATTAATATATTTTTACATATATGTAGTATTTTACATTAGGTTTTTATTTTTATTTTTTTTGTAAAAAAATGAACATATATTAGGTAAATATTATTAATTAATACTGCTCTATATTATCTTAGTTTTCGATAATACTATTAACTTTATTTTTTCTTCCAATTTTATTACTTTTGCAATAATATTTAATTCAATTAAAAATAAAATCATTTTGTTAACACACATATATATACACTTTATTTTCTACTCTTAAAAGTCGTATCAACAATAAAGCAGCATGCGCGGGTACTATTCTTAGAATTTTATTTTTTAAAATAAAACCTCATAGATCCTTTTTTTTAATCAAGTCTAAGTGACTCTACTCTTGACATTGGTATAGCTAGGTATAAAATTAAAGTTATATATATTTTGGAATTAGTATTATGAGTAATTTTTTATAAAATTCAATATAATAACTTTTCATAAAATTTAATAACAAATAACCGTGCATTGCACGGGATTTAAACTAGTATAGAGATAAATTACTATTAAATTATTAATGAACTAAATTTGATCTCTCATATGATCTGAGTTTAATGTTAATGATTTTTTTTACGAAGATACTGTCTTTTTGATTGAAAATAAAATCAGCTAACAACATCAAATAAAATTCTATGTAAAAGGAGTAAAAAGTGAAATTTTGACTTAATTTTAATCCTCTACTAGAGTGTTGTAAACATAGTTTCACAACCCATATTATTTTTAGTTCATCTATCACATTACTGATATAAACTAAGCTATGCTTATAGCTTGGTCTAGTGGTAAGATTTGCATTCCACAACCTCAAGGCTGCGGGATCAAATCCTACTAGAAGTGCTTTGGGTGGGGATTCCTTTACTCCCCCCCCCAACTCCCAAAAACTCACATTACTGTCAAAATAAATTTTATCTTTATTTTTTTTATTACTTCTTCCGGTTTTTTTTAGTTGCTACACTTTTATTTTCATGGTTTCCTATACAATTTTTTAAGAGGTGAGAGATAGAGAGAAAAATAAGAGAGACTCATGTGGGTAGGAGAGAGATAGAGAGAAAGAAATGTAAAAAATGAAAAGTGTTGCAACTAATTGACAATTTCCAAAATAGGAAAGTGTAGCAACTAAAAAGAAATGAAGGAAGTAGTAAATATTTTACTAATATTAAATTATGAAAGTAGACATTGTGAAATGATATAACAGTAGCAGAGGAAGAAGGCCCGATAGGGCACGTGCCCTACCATTTAAAAAAAAAAATTAATTTAAGTTTATCGTTTTTATTTTAAAAAAAAGATACGAATAAAAAAAAACAAAATAAACGTGACAATGACCATTGCTTATTCACAAATTCTTATATGTGGTTGACCATACCGTGTGGCCAATCATCATAGGGGTTATTTTGTTAGTGTTATAGGGTTAGTTGATCGATAAGTCTATTTTATATGTATTTTTTATTCCCCGTCCCACGGTTATATTTGTGTTTATTTGAGCTCTAAGGAGCTATTTTTATTGCTAATATACGTTTTCTAGTGTTTTTGTAGAGTTGGTATTGTTTTGCAGGAATTTGCAGAATTATGGTAATTCCTGAGTTTATTTGAGCCACTACGAAGATATTGGAATCTATTAGTATTTTATGACCACATACTTAAAGCCTTAGGCCGAGTTAAAGGGATTTGGTTTAGTGATTAAGGGCTTGATACGTGAGGAGGTCCAAGATTTACTGCAAGTTGTGAAGTTGAATACATATAGCCGCTTTGTCTGCAGTTTGTGAAGCATTATGGTTGAGAAATCTCTTGAAAGAAATTGGTCACGTTCAAGAAGGACCAACTACGATCTATGTAGATAATATGTCAGCAATAAAAACTTGCTAAGAATCCAGTACAACATGGAAGAAGCAAGCATATTGATACTCGGTTTCATTTTCTTCCAGATCAAGTTAAACAAGCAACAATCACACTAAAGTATTGTAATACTGCTGAGCAAGTTGCAGACATATTTACGAAGCCCCTATCTTATGAAACATTTAAAAAATTAAGAGAGTTACTCAATGAAAATTCAAGTTTGAGGGGGTGTGTTGAAAACGAGGGCGCCCCATTACTTACTGTGAGAAACGTTTTTGTTTCTCACAGTGGCAGTTTTGTAAATAAAACGTACCACTTTAGTCATGGTGGTACATTTTATTTACGAAATGGATGATAAAATTGTACCACTTTAGTCACGGTGATACATTTTATTTACGAAACTGCCATTGTGAGAAACAAAAACGTTTCTCACAGTGAGTAACAGAGATTTACTGGTTGAAAACCACAAACTTTATTTTACAGAAAATATTTTTGTATTGCTTATACTAGAATAAGATATGAGAGGATATTGATAATTGTTAATTCTCATCCTCTACATAATTAGCAAGTGAGTTGATATAATTTCAATGTTTTATTTTCAATAAGAAGTAAGAGAGACAGAAAGAAAATTAAAAGAAGAAAATATAAGGAGAAGTTTTATTATATTAAGGAAGAGTATATTTTGTTATCCCGGATTGTAACCCACATTTATTCCTCCATATAATCCTTATTATTATTTGAGTTAGCAATTTGTTGATTAATATAACTCCTACACATCAAGCATCGATGAATCCTAATCTTCCATCCTACGTCCACTGTTTGAGGATTTTCACTTGGAAACATTGACTAACCTTCTCCAATCCACATCAGATGTTCCTAATAAATCAAAATCACAATGAGCAGGCAAAGAAATTTATGACTAAATCAGTAAGTCAAGGCTGAGCATTTCTGTTATTATTGACATAATAAAGAAAATCAACTTTTTAAAGTTGAAGAAACTATTCTTTGGCCAAATATTTTGAATTACGTACTCCTGTTACAAAACTCGAGATCTAACTAAGAACTAGCTTAAGTACGAGGATTCACCCAATTAATTGTACAAAATACATATTATAGCATCAGAAACAATGATGATGGAACCTCTATGATATGGAATGTTCACTGCTCAATATCATGGTATATTTTGAAGTAGCTTATCACAGTTATTCAGGCTCAGGTTCTCTTGTTAGATACAGGTAAAAGTCTAAGTGTCAGAGTATCAGACTATTATTTTTATGAAAAGTCTGGTCCAAATGAAGATTCCAAACATCTAGCACCCAGCACCAGTATTTAATTAGAATGAGGAAATATGCTCCGAACAATATTTATAATGGGCTCGCTCCAAGTTTTTTAACTACTTCATGTACCTCCATTCAAGTATACTCTCAATTCTTCATCAAAGCGTTTTCTGAGCTTCATTTCCCCCATCAGACACGTTTTTGAAATTCTGAGGTAATCCAGTAAGCCAGTACCACAAAAATTCAGTACAAAAGTGTTATCAATGGATCATCGTCCTATCAAATCACATGTTTTCAAGGTCCCATCAATAAATTTGTTTTGAAGGTCTTTAAAAGTTTTGAAAATGAGAGGTAGGTTTGGAATCATACTGCTATGTTCACATAATCACATGTTAAATGGTTATTTGCATCAAAAGATTTGTTTTGAGTTTATTAATGCGGCAATGTGCAGATTTAACTATAGAAATTGAAAATGAGATTGACACATAATGTTTACTAGTAAAAAGTAGAGAAGTGAACTTCCTAGTTAACACTAAGGGTATGCATGTGCATACCCCTCTGGTGAATGGAACAAAAAAAGAAAAAAAAAAAGCTTTTCCCTTAAAAAAAAAATATTGTTCCAAGTTCTTTTTTTTTTTTTTGGCTGACCTTAGCAAGTAGTTACGTTCATAAACAACTCTAATTGGAATCTAAATTTATTCTTTGCAAATAGGGGGATAAAATAGTCATTTGACATTCATAAAGGTATTTTGTATGGTTACAATGGTATGTTTGTGTACTATTATGCATATATTATACCATTAAATTATACATTGTCTTAGTAATACTATTATTTCTCACAGAGGTATACTCCGTAATATTTTATGTACAATTTACAACTTATTTGTACTATTAGAAAAATATTTATACCACTACAATATTTAATGGTACTATTTACCTATTTGATGCTACTTTATACTCATGTTAATATTTATAACTTAGCTATCCTATTTGTTTCAAAATATATTGGTGCTATATATGTTCCAAAAGTTATTCCTCTGATTAAAAGTAATGATCCTACCATCAATACTTACAAGTAATACTTGAAAAAATTGAACATATAATTAAGTGTTTTTAATACACTTTTGTCAAGTATTAAGTGTTTTTAATACAAGTACTTGCGACTTTGCGAGTAAGTTTCTTTAAAAAAAGAAATAAAAAAAAAGTACTTGCGAATAATATATCCTACCATCAATACTTTCGCCAAAAATAAAATATAAATAGCGTGTTTTCGATAGGCTGACATATAATGTCAGGTTTGATTCTCTCCATTTTTTTAACACATAAAAGGAAATACGCCTTAGGTAAAAAAAAAAGCCATTTGTCCTTGATGTTTTAATTGTTGGCTAGGTCTTTTTTTTACTAAGATAAAGGACAAAAGTCTTTGAATCA